AGAAAAAAGATAGAGAATCTCTGAACTAGATAATTTCCCACTGTGATATTGAGGAAGTAGTGCCCATTCCTCAGCCAAGAAAACAGTCCAAACAATCCAGGGCCTGAAAGTGTGAAGATATTAACTTCATGGACACTGACTAATACCCAGATGCTTAAAAGCAGCATGTGGAGAAGGGGCTATGGCAGATGTCACAGTGATGGGCAAAGTATAAATATGTAGCGGCAGTACGGATATGGGCAAGGAGCCCACTTGGGGCAGGAGGCTTGAGTTGAATTTACTATGCTCCACTTTCAATATAGAACACTGGAAAGTGTTTTTTATGGGGGGAATGGGGGTTGCGCATGCACACTCTAAGAGGTAAGGTGACCTGTAAGTGAGGGGGTGGGGGGTGGGGGGGAGAAATCAGACATGTGCCCTTTCTGCTTCATTATGATAGATAAAAGGTACTCAACGTTTAAGATGGCTTCTTTGCTTTCTTAGAACTCTGTATTAGGAATGCTAAGTTTGGCTGTCCCTGGCTTTGCTAGACTTGCTGGAACTCTCAAAAGAACACCGATATTTAAAAGTAAGTAAAGATGTCCCTTCTCAGTTATTTAAGTTAGGCAGTTTTATAGTCAATCAAAATCATTTCGCTCTTAGCCAGGTTTCACTTTCTCAATACTGCAATGTCATAACCCTACTAACTCTTCAGTCACCTAACTTTTCCAAGGTAGACTAGACATGAATTTCTAATGAAAAACAAGTATGAATTTCTACTCAAGCAGATTTTTTTCAATATCTTTATACAACAAAGCGGATCCACATACTTTTTTCTCCCTTGCAGTTCACCTTTAAAGGCAAAGAAGGAGTGCAGAAGGCTCTGAAGACACAAAGAGAGGAGGACGGGGCAAGTCTATATTTCCTCAACCATTTATTTGCATTTCTGGAGACAATGTTTTATTCCTTACTGGCTAGAGAGTACCCAATGGTAAATTCCTCCAGTACAACACAATGCTGAGAATCTCCCAGGTGGTGGAATCTGTGCATTGCTCTTCCTTCCACACAGAGCTCGCACTGCCCATTCCTCTCTGGGGAAAGTCTTGCAGCCATGCCAGTCAACAACACAGTACGCTTTAAGGCAGCTCATAAAACCAAAGTGCAAAATGGAGACCTGAAAGGTAGGCTAATAAACACACCCAGCATAAAAATGGAAAGCTCTCATGTCTTGATTATATAAAGGTTTCCTGTTTTCAAAAGAGATCAAACCAGGGTGCCATTTGTTTTTGAAGATCATTCTCACTCCATACGGAACTGTAAGTTCAAATAAAGAAAACAAAGTTCCTGATGGATGTTGATTGCTGGCAAAGCCACAGAATGTATTTCAGACTTACATTTTTCTACCGATCTTATCCTCCCTCTCCCTGTTTGTTCTGTCCATCTGTAGTATCCCAATACCCAAATTGTCAGCTTTCTGGGACAGGAATTGTCATGTTATTTGTCTGCACAGCACACAGCAGCCCTGAATCCTTGATACTGATAACTTACATTTGGGAAAGTAAACTGCCACAACAACTCAGGAGGCTGAACTACAGCCACTGGAGGACCATTTCACCCAAGCTATTCCACGAACACAGACCCACTGTGCATATAGTATAAAGAATTAGATAATTCCACATCTGCTAGTTTTATTCACTGCAGAAGACTGTGTAATTTTATTTTCCAGTCATTTCCCTAGACTCCCCATTTCAGTTTTAACCTATCATGTACTCTTTTAAAAAGTTTTCTATCTTGTCCTACTTTAGTTATATCCATCAGCTTCTCCTCTAGTGTTTTTTACAACACTCTGAGTTTTAGACTCGTGACATTTCTTTGCATGTCTCATTGTGTATCTGACCTTTTAAAAAATAATTTGATCTAATGGTTTCGTCTGTGCTTTGCTGAATGGCTTTACTGCATTGCTGCCCACAACCTGACAGCCCTGAGCCCCGGCACTCCCCCCGAGGCTGAAACCAGGAGTGGAACCATAGGACTGAAGCCCTGAGCAGGGCCGCCCAGAAGATTCAGGGGGTCTGGGGCAAAGCGGGGGAGCTGTGGCGCTTGTACTCACCCGGCGGTGGTCCAGGTCTTCGGTGGCATTTCGGTAGCGGGGGACCTTCAGTCGCTCCACATCTTCGGCAGCACTGAAGGGCCCCCTGCCGCCGAAATGCCGCCGAAGAGGATCACCGCCGGGCCAGGGCTCGTGGGGCATTTCGGCGGCAGGGGGCCCTTCAGTCACTCCACGTCTTCGGCACCACTGAAGGGGCCCCGCCACTGAAGAGCCAGACCGCTGTCGGGCCAGGGCTCGTGGGGCCCAGGGCCAATTGCCCCACTTGCCCCCTCCTCTGGGTGGCCCTGGCCTGAGCCCCAGCACTCCCACCCCCCTCAAAAGCCCTACACCCCTGTGCTCCCGAGGGTCAAAAGCTCCAAGCCCTTCCCCTTCGGAGCCCTGACAACCCCGCCATTCCCTGGGGAAGCTGCAGCCCCAATCCCCTGGCTGAAGTCCTGAGCTTTTGCTTTTCTTTGGTTTGCGCTGCTGCCTGACTGAGGACTTCCCATTCCACAGGGTCTGGTTCACCATTAAGTCCGTAACTCTGGTGCTCATATTTTTGAGGTTCTACTGCAGGGGTGGGCAAATTTTTTGGCCCGAGGGCCACATCTGGGTGGGGAAATTGCATGCAGGGCCATGAATGTAGGGCTGGGGCAGGAGGTTGGGGTGCAGGAGGGAGTGCAGGGTGTGGGAAGGGGTGTGGTGTGCAGGAAGGGGCACAGGAGGGATGCAGGATGTACGAGGGGACTCAGGGCAGGAGGTTGGGGTGCAAAAGGGGTGCGGCGGGGGCTCAGGGGAGGGGGCTGGGGTGCTGGAGGGGTGCGGGGTGTGGTAGGGGGTTGGGGTTCAGGAGGAATTTGGGGTGTGGGCTCTGGCCTGGCACCACTTACCTTGAGCAGCTCCGGGGTGACAGTGGAGCACTCAGGAAGGCTCCCTGCCTTTGGGTGGGCAGAGGGCTCCGCATGCTGCCTTCGCCTGTGGGTACCACCCCTGAAGCGCCCATTGGCTGCATTTCCCCGTTCCCGGCCAATGGGAGCTGGGGCGGAGGAGGGGGGGGGGGGGGAGTGCCTGCAGGTGAGGGCAGCATGCGGAGCCCTCTGCCCCCCCAAAGGCAGGGAGCCCATAGTTTGCCCACCCCTGTTCTACTGTATCTGCATGAAAAATCAGAACTGGCATTTGCAAAATTTTGAAGTTTGAAGATGTGCTTGTATCCCTTTTTGCTTCTCTGATGAATTACCATCCCCTCCTCAATTCATGTTCATATTGCAAATATTAGGCCTTAATTAAAAGTAACTAATCTGTCTCCATCCACTGGTAGGGAAACCCTATATTTAGTCATATGGAGTAGCACAGCAGAATGAAGAGAAAATTATATCCTATAGTCTGAAATTCTTATTTCTCAAGAACAGTCATCCCCCAAATATGGTCCTGTCACATTTAGCAAACTTGAAACCTGAAAAATAGTGTTCACTTTAAAAAAATCCAGGGAAACAAGTTATTCCTCTGCAGTGTTCCAAACGCTTCATTGCATCCTTGTGCTAGTACATGAGATCCAAAATCGGAAACTGATTTTCAGCAAGATGACAAGAAACTAGAGACTATTTTCACTGTAAACAAAACCTAAAATAGTTAAAATTTTAAATTTTAGAGCTTATTTTTAAAAACCAATGATTAAGAGAGGAAATAAATTGGTTTTTAAACATTCTGTACTGAACTGAAGAGCGGGAATTAAAAGTAGAGGATTCCTGGGGAGGAGGAGAGGATTACACAATTCCATAGTCCCTGCCATGTAATTTGGATTTAATGTGCTGCTATAGGACACTGGGGCCTACAATACTTGTGAAGTATAACTGTTGCAGGAGAAATAGCACCCTGAACTCTGATCCTGGAAAACAAAGGCTTTTCAGTTTTACCTAGATTAGAAGTTTCAACACCTAGTGCAGTGGTTCTCAAACTGTGGGTTGGGACCCCAAAGTGGGTCACAACCGTTTAATGGGGTCCCCAGGGCTGTTAAATTTGTTGGGGCCGGAGACTTCAGAAGTCCAAAGTCCAAGCCCCACCACCCAGCACTGAAGCCCTCCAGCTTTGGTGCCCCCTAGAGTGGGGGGAGGGGTGGGGGGGGTGGAGAGAGGGGGCAAGGGAAGAGACAGCTAAGGCTTCGGTTCCCTGGGGTCTCGTAGCAATTTTTGTTGTCAGAAGGGGGTCACGGTGCAATAACGTTTGAGAGACCCTGCCCTAGTGACTTCAATGTCCCTTTGCAAAGGTAATTTTTTGTTTGGAGCAGTTTTCCTATTTCTCAGTGCTTACACAGGTTTTAAGTGGTAACACATTTAAAGTAATCAGTTTGCCCATAAAACATGCAATTAAGTTTTCACTCTGACTAAAGGTGATTCTTCAATTTAAGGTTTCAGAGTAGCAGCCGTGTTAGTCTGTATCCGCAAAAAGAAGCACAGGAGTACTTGTGGCACCTTAGAGACTAACAAATTTATTAGAGCATAAGCTTTCGTGGACTACAGCCCACTTATATGCATCCGAAGAAGTGGG